ATGCTCTCACTAAATTTGAGGAAAGTACAGGGTATAACCATGCGCAAGTCAACCCCTTGGCTTGTGGCGGCTGCACCGCTCTGTCAATCAAATGGCCTGGTAGACCCGGGCAGTGGCCAAAGGCAGCGGGCACCACTTGCCAAGAGCAAAAGATTTATTGCCACCGCAGCATATTGCAGCTCTGCACTTTGCAGCTTGCTGTTGAGAAAAAGAAAGAAAGAAATCACGAAAAGTGAAAAAGGAAATTTAATTTGCCATGCTCTCTTGGCTGCGCCGCAGTTGTTGTCCCTAAGGATAGACTGTGAATGCGCAGAACAAATCATGTCCTCGATTCGCGAAATAAAAAACAACATCTCTGAATATGATAAAGTGAAACGTGGCCATTTCATGGCAAATTTATTTGCCATTGCCGTGGGCGTCGACTCGAATGGCGAGTCGAATTCTCCGCCATTTTGTTGCATATCAAATATTAAATATGAAATGCATTAGCCATTTGATTTTCATTGAGAGTTTGTCCCATTTTGCGGCAATTATTCAGTGTTTTATAAAATTACAATGGGAATGAATGGAATGGACGTTGAATGCTTCGCTTGAAGTGGAAACGTGTTAATTGACTCGAATTCGAAATGATATTCTATTAAAATTATTGCAATTTCTATTAATGTCATTATTTTGGGGTCGCTGAATTGCGAATCGTTGATTAAATGTTTATGGCCCATGGCATAATCCCAGGCCATAAATAATACAATGTATTTCAGCAGATATAGACATTGATTTATTTATTTCTAAAAGTGAATATAAAAATGTACAAAAATCGCTTATCAGCTGGCCAAATTGCCAGTTGTCTGTTGAATTTGTTAATTTCAATTATGCATGAAATTAGTTTATTGCCTTTTGACATTTCAAATCTGTCAGCAAATAATTTCAAATGAATATAAGTAAGGATTGCTGGCACCGAACACGAACTGACTGCCCAATACTCGTTCAAGCTGCAAGAAGATTTACTTTTGAACATTGATATTTACAAATTTGAGAATATTACATTATTGGGGGCGTGGAGAGATTTTGATATTCTTAAAGGACGCTAAGCGGGACTTACATTTCATTTTTGAAACGATTTTATATTACACTCAAGTACCGATAATTCACAATGGAAGGAGTAAACGTTTTTTTTTTTTAAAAATTTTCACAGAAATTTTATACACGAAATTATTAATAATTTGATTTTTTTCAAAAGGATAGAATTGCTGTCGATCTATCGCGATTTTTTATTTAGCGCTGTACAAATTCTCGAGACTCGTATGTATTATCTAAATTAGTTTTATCAGTTTATTTTTCTTAAAAAACAAACCCTTTATCTTTCTCTAATTTTCCACATTGATTTAGCTCTGACATTTAAAAATTCCAAGGGAAATATCTCCCTTTAGGTAAAGTATATTATATTTATTGCCTGTCTGCAATCATGTCCACATCTAATATACTTTCTACTCTTCATGAACGAGTATCAATACAGACACAACAACAACATTATTATGCCTCAAACTATAAAAAATAATCGCAAAAGACAGAGATTTCAATTCATTGCCCAGACCAATAAAGGAGTAGCGTATACTGAGACCATATACATATAATCGTTTCTTATCAGTCAAGTAGGAAATAAATATTAATGCATATATACACTCTCTCTCTCTCTCTCTCTCTCTCTCTCTCTCTCTCTCTCTCTCTCTCTCTCTC